TGCTTTTAAGAGGCCTCAAAAAAGTATCTGCTAATAAGACTACTATAATAAAATGAAACATTTGGGGTTTAGTAAATTGTCTAATTTTCGGAGAATACACTTTCTTTTTTCAGTGTCCGTCAATTGAGAAAAATGCTTTTTTATTACCAGATAGTTGTGTAGTGTAGTTACAACATTTCCCAGCAGGGGCTAATGGGACCTTGCTAACTAGCAGTTTGTAAACTATTCTTTGCTTCTGAGAGACTCATAACCCATTGCTTTAAATTACACAGTGCGTGTAAAATGTTTGCAGTCCAAGTTAACAAGGATTTTCTAGTTATGTCTAAGGTTTAATACACACATCTTTCAGATTCTACACAGGTCATATGCTTCCAGATGTCTTAAATTAGTGCTAATGAATGCAGTTGATCAAATGTGTGATCTAGCAGTAACCTTGTCCTGACAAATCGAAATCATTAGGCCACAGAACGTGTCTCAAGATGGAATGAATGTTTAATGATATGTCTCCATTTTCATAAGCAGCCTTTTAACTTGATTTAGTTCTCCTGCGCTATAAATTTGACCTGTAGATTGCATAGTCACAGACTTTGATAGACCAACTCCCGCAATCCTCTGGACAATTAGTATGTAGAGTGTGAGCTATTTAAAATGGGTATGTTGATAGGATCAGCTGTTCCTAACAGCTTCCCATTTGAAAACTTATCAAGCCACAGCTCTCTATCACAGAGTAATCATGTGCAGGCTAATAGGTTAATGACAGCTACCTTAATATTTTGATAAATATGTTGCTGTTGTTCCACAACTGAACATTTACAGGCACAAGAATGTTGATATTAATCAGAATTGGATTATATTTTGACCATTTATATGTAAATGAACAATGTGCACTCTTTATGTTACCTGCACCCAGATCTCCCAGTTTATTTGTCAGCTAAAGTGCTGGATGATGCAAACTTTGGCAAAAGGGAACACTGTAACCCGTTTTGTCCATTTTCTCTAGTCACTTAGCACCAATTATAGCACCTATTATATAAAAAATGCCTTTCTACTACATAGACAGCCAAGTTTGGTTAAATACACATATCTTTCCTGCATTGAATAACCCCTTTAAGTGCAAACTTGATTTCTTAATCACATTAAACAGAATCTCTGATTTCTTGAAATCTAAGCAAGAATTATAATAAAAATTTAACCAGAATATAAACCTTCATCTAAAATTGATAAAGGTGGTCATTGCTCGCTGAAGTAGTATGAGTAGCAGACAAAAAGGTTGTAAAGCAGATTGAAAAAAATTTCCCTCGGCTACCGCAGGGCAACAATTCATAAGTGCTGCTAAAAAAGTTTGTATTAAATCCTTTGTCTGTGTTCTTTGGATTGAAAGTGTCCAAATTGGGTTTTATAATAGATCAAGAATATCCTTCAAAGTGGGATATATGTTATAAAATAGGAAAGTACAATCACAGAGGGCCTTGGCAGCTGAGATTGCCTCAGCTCTCTGTTAATTTGTGTTCTGGTGGATTACAAAGCTATACTATTCCTGCAGAGTTGACTTTTTTGAATAGGAAGGGTACTGTGATTATTAAACATGGTTCGTAATATTGCTGAGGCAGAAACACAAGACTGGTTTGAGCAATGCACAATTAGCTCAAACTAATTTTCATCTCTCACTTGTGCCAGTTGCCTCCTCCATATCCTGAGACTGAGTCATCACCTTTATCTGTATTCAATCATTTTTAAACCTACACCTTTGTAACCTTATATGTGTGTATGAGTGTGTCAGGAGAGTGCAAACCAAAAAGATTATGTTACAGATTACAAAGAAATAGTGAACACAAAATGAGGGTGACAAAATTGTTTAATTGTAACAGATAACCTTGATTAGGTGATTTTGGGTTGAAAATGTATTTTACTAGAACAAAAGGGTGATTTACCTTTCTTTTTCATATAGCCGTATTATTCTAATGTGAGAGATTTAGAATTTCTGAGTTCCATAGGTCCTGATCAAGAGGTCAGATTGATATGTTTTACAGTGTGAATGTCATTTTCAGCTGAAAGTTTCATTTTCCAGCCAGCAGGATGCTATCTTCAGAGAGACTGTGAGTATGCAATGTTCCATACGGTTGTCTTTTTATAGGATTGTTAGAAAAGGTGGATCAAGTGGTGTAAAGTGTATTGTATATCAAGGAACAATATTGTGACACTCCAAATGATATTATTAAAAGCCATATCCATCTGCTTGATCAGCCTCAAATTAGGCCCAAAGGTCTTTTCAGATTTTCTTTTGTCATTGTGAACATTATTATTTGGACAGATCCAGCATTCCTTAAATTGTACCCAATTGGTTCATGCTGAACAAGGATCATAGAATTCAATCTAGAATCTTCTGGTGAACTACGACTGTAGAGAAACTTCACAGAGCCTTTAGATGAATATATTTGACATTCTGTGATGTGCACGCTTTTCTACTTATTATACTGCCAAGAAGATTAACAATGTTCAGATTTTAATGCTTTTTGGTAGATCAGTTAGAGATTTTTTTCTTAAATGCTTAAAATTTAAATGCTTGAATATATATTTTTACCTCTGAATGACCAATCAATTGTTTATGCATTGGTAACCGTATAGGGCACTCCTTAAACAAGCTGAGCTGAAGTGTTTTATGCAAAGGCATAACAACAGATGTCGGAAAAAGAAGCCAAGCCAGAATTTAAGCCTGGATCTTCCCTATTATGCTGCGATACTCATTCCACAGAGCCACTCACCCTTGAAATTGTTATATGTATCAACTAAAAGCCCATTTATGGACTTTTTGGTCTTTTACTCATTCAATAAGATCAGATCAGCAGCTCCTAAATAGCACCCAGAGACTTTTGTTAGTTAGCGTTGTCAGGCATGCATGGCATACTTAAGAGCTGGCTTTCATTGTGTTTAGGGGCATCCAAAATCAATGAAATCCGAAGACACAGAGGTTTTACAGCGCTCCTGTTTTTTTGTTTCATGTTAAATTTGTTTTTGTTCAGTTTGTATGTTGCAAAAAGTCAAAGGAATAATGGCAGCTTTGAATTTTGTCTGATCAAATCTTTTCTGTGCAAATAAAATAGCGTTAGACATGCACAGAGCACAAGTCTGTTCCCAGTGGATTACAATGAGAATTTGCAGCTACTGAGTCTGCAGAAGTACTTTTATATTTAAAATGAACTTACATATATTCATAAGCAAGAGGACAAAGTGATTATACTTTCCTAATTCCTATGTTACAGTTTCATGCAAAAATAAATATTAATTCAGGCTGTGTGTGGCCACTCTTCGTAAAATCAATTTTAGTATGCCTTATTGTTAGGTCTCCTTCTCATTTTCAGCCTGGTTTGATTTCTTTCATACCTTTCAGAGGAAAGGGTAAGGCGACAGGAAGAACAGCATAGACCTTTTACATAGACCATGTCATTGTTTGCTTTTTTGATAGAAATTTCACCTTTTTGTGTTGTTGTCATTTTGCAGATGCTTTGCCATTAGTCGCTTGCAACCACCTGAGAGTAAGTGTCATGTTGAAGGGCACACGATGAAGCAAGATCTCTGTAACTCTCCAGTTCATGCATCGTCTCAGCCGGCGTCTGAGCTCACAACCATAGGGCTGTTAGTGCTACAAAGTTTTTTAAGCAAAAATAGGTGTGTTAAGTTTAAAGCAGTGGTTCTCACTTAGGGGGCCGGGGCCCACTAGGGGGCCTCAGCAAGCTTCCAAGGGGACCTGAAGTATTTAAATTAATAGTTTTTTAAAAATATTAAAATCTTAATTAAAAGGCTAAATATAAACATAAAATCAAGATGTTAACTGAGATCATATTTTCTTGCTATTGTTTTTAGCGAAGAACTACTGGTTTAAAGCGATAATACTGTTCAAAAGTAAGGAAAAGGGTTTTTTAAAGGTACCAAGTAGGCCTACCTTCTGGTTTTCAAAAATTGGTGAGATATGTTCATCCTTAATGTGCTGAACTACACCTGTGATTTCTCTGATAGGACACCTTTGTGAACTTGAGGGGAATTGACTTCATATATCCTCTAAAAATCAACTTGAGGCCAGCTGGTTCAAAATAACTGCAAAAATAACTTTCATTATTTATTCTTTTTTTTTCAGTGATTTTATCCTCTGTTGTTGCACTTAATTCCAGCTGATTATATTATAACCAGCAAATAATTGCTTTCTAGCTGTTTATTGCAAAGCGTTGATAATAAACAATAAGTGGTTTATTTAGAAAAACAGAGGTGATCATTACAGAAGAACTATACAGAGAGAAAATTTCATTTTAAATACATAAGGGGCCATATAACTGCAGCAGACAAGCTGTGTTGTATTCACAAAGACCACCACACTAAGCTATCATTAAAACAAACACGCTTTGGGTCTACAGGACTTAAAACTTGAAAACACATCGGGATGAAATCCAAGCTGCTCCTCCCCACTACATTCAGTGTAGAAGTGAAAGTGAGACACTGTGGGTTTCTGCAGGTCTAAGCAGCTGAGAGACTCACCAGAGTTGAGGTGAAAAATAATGGTCTCCCTTCACCTGCTGACTTCCCTTCCCTTCTTTCCCTGCTCCGTGTTTTACACGACTTGCACAGGTTCATAATTCTCAATTCTGCTGAGCATTAATTTAGCAGTGACAGAAGGGGATCCCTGGAGGAACCCAGGTGACAGCTTCATTTCAAGCCTCTTTAATGTTGTGTGGCTGCTAAGTCTCCGGCTCAATTCTCAAAAGCACCATAAAATTCCTCAAGCACAAAATATTACAGTTTTACGCAGCAGCTTTTCAATTTGTGTTTGTCATGCGAATAAGGGCTTAGCAGGCTTACGCCAACAAGTTACGTTCTACGCAGAGTATTTATTTAATTGTTGTTAATAAACGTGTCACAGGAAGCTGAAAAGAGTTTGTACTCATATTCTGGGATGGAAATCGTGACATTGTTTGACCCGAGCGATTTTTTTTTTTCTTTCATTCAGAGATTGAAAAGTTCGAAGGAGACGAGTTGAGAAAAGATGGCGAGGTGAAGAAATACTTGGATATCATCAGCAACAAAAACATCAAACTGTCGGAGCGCGTGCTGATCCCGGTGCAGCAGTATCCTAAGGTAAGACCTCAGTGCTCCATGCAACATACTAAAGGAGCAGTGACGTGCCAGTCAAATCAATGTTATAGTCATGTGAAGATCACAGAGGATCAAAAGCAATCCATCAGTTTTTATGGGATTGCTGTGCTCGTGGGTAATGACTTAATAAGTTCTGTATCTGGCAGGAGCAAACTAGATGGTGTCAGACTCTGATTTGTGCTGCACTGCAGATCTGCTGTTATTTACACCTTATATTTCTGTCCTAGCTGAAAAGACTCCTGGCTCTTTCAGAGTAACAGGCACGCCACATCTGTTTCTATCTGTTCAAACATTATTCTGCCTCATTTTGTAATCAGGAAATTATTCTTGTTTTTACCAGCTGGCCTCTCACGCATCTGTTAGGAAATTTTAGCTTCTGAGTACCAACCGAGAGAGACATAAAACCATTTTATCTAGCAACATGGTCAGTTTTGCATCATGTTATTGTCTGTTGGTTGATTGATCTTCATGAGGGGCTTCGACTTTGTAGCTCTTGTATTTGTTGTGTTGATCGCTTTTATTCACAGATAACAGCTGAAGTCTTTAAATGTGCCGTAAAAACATGTAGCGTATTTGGCACTGAGTGCTTATGTTTGATTCCTGCTGATAGTTTGATTATAGAGATTCAGAACTGACTGGTTTGATTCATCAATATAATGTTAAACAATATCCCACATCACGTTTTGGTCAGTAACAGTGATTTATTTTAGAAGAATGTTGTGATGTAAGCTAAAAACAGAGTTTTTTTTATTTCAGGTAGCTGGTTATTCATTTCAGACTACTCTGTCGCTATCACGTTTGGTGCATGCGGCACTCTTTTATTCAGCATTGTGCTGCTTTCAAATGATGCTTTGAAAATGAGTGGGAAAATGCCCATGAGCATCACACAGATGGATCCATAAAGCTACTGAGCTTCTTATATGCTCCCTCGTTTTTTACTGTTTCTGCTTTAGGAAATGAATCCCTGGAGAACTAAAATGTGCAGACTGTTTGATGGGTTTAGTAGATTTGTACTGTCGAAAAAGAGAGTACAAAGAACATGCCTTAGGTTTAGATTTTACATGCCTTGTTCGAGTTGTAACAATGGATTTTTGTTTTCCCAAATCCCCCTTTCCTCAGGATCTTGGCTGCTTTGTAGTTATGGAAATTTTATGGCAAAGTTCTCTTGGGATTTTCCTGGAACGTGAGAAATATCTGTCTAATGTCATCGGATTGATTAATGTTAAGTGTAGATTATGTAATTTTCCGAGATTCTATTTACATATCGTTTTTGGTACGAGGGTAAGAGGGTGTATTTCCCGCCCAATATACGCATAACAAAATGTGTTTTTTTTGAAGAGTTATATTTTTCAGGTGCAAGAAATAGTTTTGCTGCAAAACATGACTGCACAAAATAGAGTCAATGTTTGCAAGTTATTTTAGCATCTCAGGTTATTATTGATTTGAGACAAGACGAATGATTTGTAGAGTCTTATGAAGAGCTATGGAAATCCTGGCTTTTCTTTCTGTAACTGCAGGCTGAAGCAGGTTTAAGGGTGAAGAGATCGGGTGAGAGAGGATAAAAAAACCTAACGATGCACAATATATTGCTACCATATTGATTATGATCATCGGTATTGTTTGAAATGTCTGTATTTGACTTTTCACACTCAGTTCTCATGATTAAAATTTTAGATTACCTCTGCAGTCATTTAACTCAAAGTAAATCATTAATAATTTAAAATGCTTATTTTTAAATGTAATCTGCAAATTAATTAGACTTAAAATTGTGTCAGTGCATTAGTGAAAATAAGTCCTGCTAAGAAAACATTTAAGAGGTATCCATGCTATATTCTTTTGCTTGTCATGGCACTTGATATAGAGCTTAAATGTTTTGCTGCATTTACGAGCCATTTCTCTTGTAGGGCCAAGCCAAAAATAAAAATAAAAAAATAAAAAGGTTAGTTTAATGCTTAGAAACGACTAAACCTTAACATCAGTAGATCAATGAACTTGTGGACCATAACAGATAATAGCTTACAGAGTCTAGACTTTATGTTATGTTCTCTGTCACAAATCCCCAGGATTTATCTATGTGCGGTTAATTAATCCGTGTGTGACGACAGCGCTGTCTCAGAGTTTTGTCTAATCATGCTTGATGAGACTGTCTCCAAGGAAGAGCATCTCGGCTGAAGCTCAGAATAACTGAGCTGGAGTCGGTCTTGGTTTCTTTGATCCTCTCATTAAATTAGGCTAACTTTAGTTTATGTATTTGCATAATGAAGAATAGGCCTTTGTGGACCTTGAAAGGCAGTTTGTTATGTATCTTTAGACTATTTGTTCTAATGTATATATTGACCTTGACATGAATTCCTTGTTCTGAATCTTTATTCATCTGCATTGTTTCAGACTGAGACTTTTAATGCGTTACCCCATTGCTTAGAATATATTTGTTTTTCCTGACAAGATATTAATTGCACATCACTGCTGTGTTATAATGCATGTGTTCAATATACATTCATGGTATGTTTATTTTTTCTCCAGATTATTGCAGAGCACTTTCTTTATTTGAAATGAAATATGAAATGAAAAATGTAATGCACTGATAGCAGGTATTGTTTAAATTATTTTATTCATTGAATATTAAGTTCAATGGCACCTCTGTGCTGAATTGGCAAGGTTACAGAAGACGGGGAAAAACGTCTCGAGGTTACGTATGTAACCATGGTTCCCCGAAGGGAACGAGACGCTGCGTCGAATACTTTGGGAACGCCCTCGGCGAGACACCATACTGAAGCCTGTGTGAAATCAGTCCAATAGCGAAGCGAGACGTCACGAGCGGGGTGACGTAAGCAGTCAGGAAGCATAAAGGCACATCCGGCCAGCTCGCATGTTAGCTTCTGCGGAAGAGAGCGCCTGCAGGGATGCAGGGAGTATGACAGGGAGACGCAGCGTCTCGTTCCCTTCGGGTAACCATGGTTACATACGTAACCTCGAGACGTTCCCCTTCAGGAACTCGAGCTGCATCGAACGCTTTGGGAACGAGAATACCCACTGCACCATACGAGCAAGTCGCTGTCTGGTGTGTATCTGGCGAGCACATCAAGATGAAAGGACTTGGGACCCTGGAGTAGACGCCAGGTCGAGACTGTAAAACCGAATGAATGTGTGCGGGGAGGACCAGCCTGCCGCAGCACAAACATCCTGAAGGGCCACGCCCACTGACAAGGCCTTGGAGGCCACCATACCCCTGGTCGAGTGCGCTCTGACCCCCATGGGTGACTGGAGGCCAGAGGACTCGTAGGCCAGTCTGATGGCCTCGACCACCCACCGACTCATAGTTTGCTCGGTCGCTGGAACTCCTTTCTTAGCTGAACCAAAGCAAACAAATAACTGATCTGCTTCACCCCACTGTGCAGCTTGGTGAACGTAGGTGTCTCGCACTGGACACAGCAGATTGAGTCTCTCCTGGCCTGCTTCCTGGAAGGGAGGAGGACAAAAGGCCTGAAGTACAATGGGACCTGGCGACGAGGTGGGCACCTTAGGGACATACCCGTGTTTCGGGTAAAGGAACGCCCTAACCATGCCCGGGGCAAACTCCAGGCCTGACACTGCAAGAGCCTGGAGGTCCCCTATCCTCTTCAGCGAGGATATAGCGAGCAAGAAGATAGACTTAAGCGTGAGGAGCTTATCTGAAGTGTCTTCGATGGGTTCAAAGGGAGCTTTGCACAGAGCCTCCAGAACCACTGCCAGATCCCATGAGGGCACCTTAGTGCACTGTACTGGCCTCAGCCTCTGGGCGCCACAGAGGAAACGTGTAACTAACGGGTGTCTTCCCACTGACTGACCACCCTGAAGGGTGTGGTAAGCAGCTATGGCCGCCACATAAACCTTCAAAGTGGAGGGGGATAACCCTGTGGAGAATCGCTCCTGCAGAAACTCCAGAACTGAACCAACTGGTCAGTTGACTGGGTCTTGCAGTCGCTGTCTGCACCAAGAGGTGAAAAGTTTCCACTTCAAGGCGTACAGTTTCCTTGTGGCGGGAGCTCTGGACTGGAGTATGGTCTCAACAACCTCAGTTGAGAGACCAGATGCTATGAGCTGTGCCCCCTCAGGGGCCATGCCCACAACTTTCCATAACTCCGGGCGGGGGTGAAGAATGGTGCCCCCTGCCTGAGAGAGGAGATCCCTCCTGATCGGAATCTCCTGTGGAGAGCCATCGAGGAGGGACACCAGGTCCGAGAACCATACTCGGGCTGGCCAGAACGGGGCTACTAGCAAAAGACGGACCCCGTCCCGGCGAACTCTCTCCAGAACTCCCGGGAGCAGAGCAATCGGGGGAAATGCGTACAGACGATGCCTCGGCCACATGACTTGAAACGCCGTCCGCTCGCCACATTCTTTTTTGATTTTGGCATTGTTTTTCTCGCTTAACTTTCTTTTACTGACTGAGTGCTTTGCATACATTCACACACACACCACAGATGCGCTCGCTGAAGAGCAAAAGCTAACAGGCGCGCTGGCCGGATGTGCCTTTATGCTTCCTGACTGCTTACGTCACCCCGCTCGTGACGTCTCGCTTCGCTATTGGACTGATTTCACACAGGCTTCAGTACGGTGTCTCGCCGAGGGCGTTCCCAAAGCGTTCGACGCAGCTCGAGTTCCTGAAGGGGAACTTTATTATTTTTTAAGAATGCTGTTTCTTTTCTATGTTTTTGAGTTGCAGCCTATTAGTGTCCACAATCTTCTTTATGAGCTTATGAATTTATGACACAAATCAGAGGCATCAGAACAACTTATACAACTTGGCTTTATCATGGTTATTTATTTATTTAGCATGATTTTACACCTACTGATTAAAACATACCACATTAAGTATGGTAAACCAGGGACAATTTTCCTTTATAAATCACAGACCACTAACGTCTCTTCTAGTATACAGAATGTTGGCTAAATATATGAAAATAACAAAACTTACAGTGCCATTAACAGACTTCTAATGG